CCGCGGCCGGGAGCGGCAGAGGGATGCGGGCTGCAAGCGTCAGGGGAACGGTGGACGGTTCAAGCTTCACCAGGCGTAGGCTTTAGGTTGCAATGACAAAGACCCAAGTGAAATTCTAGGAAATGACTAAAGCGTCAGGCAACAGCAAGAGGGGTCAGTGCCAATGTAAGAAAGGTGTAGCATACTAGAAGCCCTGCTTTTTACAGGGCAACAGGACAAGAGCAGCAGTAGTTTGCTGATAATAATACAGGGAGAGGGAGTGAGCCAGCTGGTCACTCTTGGTCATCTAGCATTCTCCAGAAAAGCTAAATTAGAGGCAATAAAATAAAATACAAGGAAACTTTATTTTTCAGTCCTATCAAGATTTTCCTTTTTTTTTTTTTCTCTCCTTCCTTCAAGCTGCTTATTAGTGGACAAGTCCAGTCAGTTTTTGTATTAAAAAGGATTTTGATGGAGGTAGCTTTGTCTCTGTCCTGGCTTTTGCTTGGTCTCACCTGTGCACTCATCTCAGTAAACAAACTCAAAATAAAATTAAAAACAAAAACTGGAATTCCAGGCCGAGGCAGCGAGCAACACAGCCAGGTTCTCCATGTAACAGACAGGGCGCTGTGGCCTCCAGTCACTATATACAGAGTCCATCATACATCCCCCTCTCTCCTAAGCACACTCCTTCCTCCAACAGCTGGCTGCAGAAGGAGTTCCTTCTCCCAGAGACCTGTAGAGCAGCTTCCATGGAGGGAAACAGCACCCAGTCAGGAATGTCAGGCAGAGGGGTAGAGTGTGAAGGGGTGGGTCACTTCAGCTTGGCCAAAAGGTCAACAGCACTGGGCCAGGGACTCATTGCTGCTGGGCCACCTGTAGGGCAAAAGACAATGCCATCTGAGACACAATACTCGTCAATATACCCTAGCTCATGAGGGCAGCTCCCTACAGAGCCCCTACTCCTCCATACAATAGACAAGCCAGGCAGGGCTGCTCACTCAGAGAGAGTACTTACTTGCTGGGGAGGTGGTGGTGGAGGGGGTTCACTGCTGCGGTTGGCTAGTCGGCTGAGGATGTTGCGCTCTGACATCTGGAGGCGCACTGCCACAGGTGGGATACGGGCAATGGTGGCAGGCAAACGAGTCACATCTGCCTTCATATCACTCAAAAGCTCCTCCAGCTGCTTCAGAACTGGAAGAAAAAGAGGCTTGGGTTCAAAGAGAGAAATTGCCCCTGCCTGGGGAAGAGGCCAAAGGGGACAGCAATACTAAACAAATATCCACCCTTGCTTAACACGCTATCACCTTTGTGCAGCACAGCATTCGCCGGTTTATTCCCAGCCATTGACTCCTTGGATAGGTGCTGGTGGCTCTCAGCCAGGCATTCCACCTCTGCAAAACGTGTATTCAGAGCCATAGAAGGGTGAGATGGGTCTTCCGACATGTTCAGATAGGCAGCTCGCCGCAGCTGCTCCTCAATCACCAGTGCTTGCTCCAGGAGCTGCAACAGACAGGGTAAGTAGTAAAGTCTTCCAGCATTTGCCTGAAAAGCAGGCTATTTGCACCCTACACTTGCTGCCTCCTGTTCCAGTTCCCCACTCTCATGAGGTGAGATTCGGCAGGTAAACCTCATTTCCCAGGCTTCTGCTTATATTGGCATAAAGGCTAAATATTACAAAACAAAGGCTCCATTAAGCTAAGCCAGGTAAGAAAAACAGGGCATGTCCTAGCCCATTTAATAACAAAAATAAGCAAGTCTTCCAGGATTCTTACTCCTCTGCTTACATGACTGATTCTTAAAGGCTTTTCAAAATACAGCAGAAATGTTTTTTTTTTTTTTTTAAACTCTTTCTGCACAGGGCAATGGGGATGGAGCTTTCTTCTTGAACTGAAGTATCCTGAACTACTTACAGTAAGAGTCTAAAAATTGTTAAGCATGCCAGACAGGGACATTTGAAGATATCAGATTAGACGGTGCAAAGCAGATAAGCCAAACTACACTGAATCTCAGGGCAAAATATTCATTCAGAATTACACGGGTTGCTCCCAAATCACCTCCAGAATGAAACTATGGTCACTCACAAGTACTTTAGGCAGAGACTGAAGGCAGCCCTTTCACCAATCCAATGTTATACAATGTTTCCAAGTTCTACTTAGGCATATTGAGTGGGCTGTAGCACACCAAGCAGAAGCTGTGGTGGAAACAGACACTAACACCTCCTGAATGCCAGTTGCTGAAGAAACATTTAGAGAGCGCTGAACCAAGCTCCCCAACATGCTGCTTCTAGGGTAAAGTGCTCCTATCATGAAGCTACCATAGGATCCTAACAAATATTGCTCTTTTTAGCCATCAACACAAAAGATTGCAAAAGCCTTCATCTAAGTGGAAAATCAGAACACCGAGCTCAACAGGACAGTTTGTCTTGCTCTCAGGGGTCCAGCTGGCTGAAAGACTTGTCACACTGAGCAGAGAGCCTTACCTTAAATCTCCTTGCCAAGAACTTGTTCTTTATTTCCAGGAAGTTGCCCCTGTTCATCTCACCCTTGAAGGGTTCATTGAGGATGGCGTAACGTGGATCATTCTGAATATCTTGCCAACGGGCATAGCCATGACTGAGATGGGATGAGCTCAGGCAAACAAAGGCAGTGAGAACAAGGGAATGCACAGCCCAGGCAGATACAGTTCTTAAGAGGGGTGGGGAAAGGAGGTGCAGAGAAGAGGGGAAACAAGGGCAAAGGAAAAGCAGTAAGAGCAGCATCCTGCTCACCAAGTCTTAACTGTGCTGACAGAAAACCCCTCCTCCCACCAAGGCAGGACTCTTGTGAAAGATAAAGCGCGCTCTCACTTAACGTGTCCCAGGCAGACCCAAAGGGGTTGCCTCTTCACAATGAGGGCTTATTCTGAAGGGGAGACAGCTCGTCTGTCAGGGTAAGGATACTTGATAATCCCAGCAAGGAGCCAGTAGTCATGACGCCGATGCCAGATCTCATAGGTCTTCTTTGTAACAGTCGCAGCCCGCTCTTCATTCTGCCACAGGGAGTGTAATTCTGGAAAGGCAAGAAGAGTTCCAAGTTATTATTTCACCAAGACAAGCAGAGGCAGGTAAATAAGTTCAAGCACATACAGGTCTCATACCAGTAAAGCCACCATCAGCTATGTTGAACATGAAGCGCTGCTTTACTGCCTTCTTGTGCCTTTCATCTACTGACTCTTTCAGCATCTCTCCATTCTGCAGCATCACCACGTCTCTCTTATCATCATCCCTTTTCTCTTCTGTACACATAGGAAACAATTAGGAAGGATATGGCAGATACCACAGCAAGTTGGACCCACAAGGAACCCTTGCTGGAGAGGGGATAAAGAAAAGAATGGAATCATCATAGCTCACCTTTCTCATCCAGAGTGATTATAGGAGGTTCAGGGGGTGGCTCAACAGATGCTCTGTCTTCCACTTTCTCCACATCAGCTACAGAAAAGGAGGGGAACATGAGATGTAGCTGGCAAGTCCAAGAATTCAGCCTGTGAAACCTAACACTTCCCTGCCTCCCTGCTCAAAGCCCTGAAATAGCCCCCTTGATTATCTACACATGCCTGTTTCTTTAGGGTGAAGTATTGAGGCAGGGAAGAGTAGCTTGAAGATACTACTTGTGATTTTTTTTTTTTTTTTTTTTTAATTGCTGTTAAGGGTCTTAGCCTTCCTAGAGATACCTTTGCTTTCCACTTCCATGGGCTCATCCGGTCTTTCCTTCACTTCTGGTTCCTCTAATTTTTTTTCATCTGCCTCTGCAGGGTTCACTGGAGATTTTGCTTCCTGCGGTGGTGTCTCCACAGGCTGAGCACACTGCTTAGGACAGAAATCATCAATGAGAAGAGAAGCAAAGCAGCATATGGTCAAAGCCAGTGAACTACTTCAGCACTATCAACAGAAGACAGTCAAAGCAGTTTGGAAAGTGTCTTACAAAGCAGACCAAGGGGAAGATACACAAAACTGTCAGGCCAGTTCTTCTAAGGACCTGAGAGTTAGCTTTCAGTGTTGTCCTAGGCAGAACTCAGCTCTGCCACAGAAGCTTTATTACACAGTAAAGTAAGGCAGAAGTAGAGATATTTGGAATTGCATGAGACAAACAAGCAACTGAGCACTCACCTCCATAGGAACCTCTGTTTCAGTAGCAGAGGCATTGAGCTCTTTCTCTGGTTCAGTTGCCTCTCCTTGCTCCTTGGTGTTTGCTCCTTCTTCTACCTTTATTCCCTCTTCTGTGTATTCCCCACCCCAGAGCAGCACGGCGCACAAGAGAAGGAGAGAAGCCATCAGTAAAGTCTTCCCCTCACTGTAACCAAGCACACATCTCCTTCACTCCCAGAGATTAGGCCCATCCAAATGGGACCAACATCACTCAAGAGGAAACCCCTTTCCTGCCCACCACAAATGCAGGGCTTTTCTCCTCACTGATGTCAGCTCATCCAAGGAAAGCTAGTGTCCTCTCTTGCCTTTAAGGGCATGCACATGTCTTTGGCAGCCCTCCTAACATGAGAGGTCAGTTGATCTG